GTTGTTATGTTTTTCTTTTGAAAAGTAAAGACGAAACATTAGATGTCTTTAAACAATATAATACTGAAGTTGAAATACAACTTGATAAACAAATTAAGAACATTTGTAATGATCAAAGAAGCGAATATAGGGCACCGTTTGAAGAATTCTGTTTTGAACATGGAATCATTCATCAAACAACAGCACCATACTTTTCTCAATCGAATGGTATTACTGAACGCAAAAATCAAACTCTTAAAGAGATAATGAATGTGATGTTGATAAATTCGAGTTTACCTCAGAACTTGTGGGGAAAAGCTATTTTAACAGCAAATAATCTTCTCAATCGAATAACTCTCAAGAAAATGGAAGAGATTTCATATAAACTATGGAAAGGTCATCCTCCGTCCTGTCAACACTTAAACATGTCGCGAAGTGTTTGGCTAAGGTGGAAATTCCTAGCCCTAAGCAGGTGAAGATTGGACCTAAGACGATTAATTGCATATTTATTAGGCACGCCAATATTAGTAATGCGTATCGTTTCCTTGTATACAAATCTGAAATTCAAGATGTACACAAGGGCACCATAATTGAATCAAGGAATGCAATATTCTTTGAAAATGTGTTTCTTTGCAAAAAACAAAAAAGTGGCAAGTTCATATAAAAGAACATATGAAACTACAAATGGATCTTTAATTGAGGAAGAGCTAAGGCGTAGTAAGAGGACTAAAACGTCCACATCATTCGGTCCAGATTTTCTAACATATATGGTAGAAAATGACCCAAAGACTTTCAAGAAAACAATGTCTACTTCGGAAGCACGACATTGGAAGGAAGCTATCAACAGCGAGATAGATTCCTTAATGCAAAACCATCGTGGGAGTTGGTTGATTTGCCCCTGGGAATATGCCTTTAGAGTGCAAATGAACATTCAAAAAGAAATTAAAACCTGACGGATCCATTGACAAATATAATGCTAGATTGGTTGCCAAAAGATACAGGCAAAAAGAATGATTTAACTTCTTTGATACCTACTCACCCGTGACTAGAATTGCTTCTATAAGTTTGTCAATTGCAATTGAGGCAATATATAACTTTGAGATTCATCAAATGGATGTAAAAATGACATTCCTAAATGGTGAGTTAGAAAAAGAAATATACATTGAGCAATTTGAAGGGTTCGTGTCTCCAAGTCAAAGCCATAAATTTGTAAACTTGTTAAGTCCTTATATGGATTGAAACAAGCTCCTAAGCAACGGCACCAAAAAGTTTGACAAAATAATGTTGTCAAATGAATTCAAAATAAATGAAGGTGATAAGTGTGTATATGTGAAGAATACACTGAATGCCTATATGATAGTATCTCTATATGTAGACGATATGTTGATAATAGGCAATAGTCAAGATATGTTGTTAAACATCAAGAAAATGCTAACGATGCATTTCGACATAAAAGACATGGGTGTGGCATATATAATATTAAGGATAAAGATCTCTAGAATATAGGAAGGAATTGTACTTTCTCAATCTCATTATGTTGAGAAAATACTTAAGAAGTTTGGCATATTAGAAAAAAGTCCGGCAAAAACTCCTATTGACACAAGTCTATACTTGGTCAAAAATAAGGGTGAAAGCGTGTCATAATTGAAATATTCACAAGTAATTGCCAGTCTAATGTATATTACGAATTGCACTCGACTAGATTTTGCTTTTGCTATGAATAAACTTAGCAGATTCACGAGTAATCCAAGCCATAATCATTGGGTGGCGTTGATAAGAGTCTTTAGGTATTGGAAGGATATTGTGATGTGAATTGAATATCCGATATGAAGGATTCCAAGTCCACAAGTGATTATGTGTTTACCCTTGGTGGAGACAAAATAAATGTGTATAGCTCGATCAACTATGTAATCTGATTTTATTGCTTTGGACAAAGCTAGTAAAGAAGCAGAATGGTTTCGAAATTTCTTGGAAGATGTTCCATTTTGGCCTAAGCCAATACCTGCTATAAGTATGCACTGTGATAAACAATCGGATATTGGAAAGACTAGAAACAACATGTATAATAGAAAGTCTAGAAATATACGTTGTAGACTCAATACCATTAAGAAACTAACGCAAATGGCATTATCTCCATAAATTATATGAAATCAAAGGAGAATATTGGGGATCCACTTACAAAAGGTTTGCCTAGAGATTAAGTACATTGCCTTTTTAGAGGAATGAGATTAAAGCCTACTATGTAAGAGTCCTTGTAATGGTAACTCTACCTTATTGACTGGAGATCCCAAGACCTTGGTTCAGAGGGAAAACTATGTTATAAAGATTCCATGAAACACTTAGGAAAATAATTTCATAACTTATTCTATGATATCAAAGTACTTTCTACAAAGTGGTAAGAGGTTAAGATAATCTTTTAATGATTCATATATCTTGAAGTCAAGTGGAATAGGATAGAATACTCTTAATAGAAGGTCATCTATGTAAATATGAATTGGGGCTACTTCAATGAGAATTATTCAAATCTTGAATTCTCTAAATACTTACAAAACTAAGATGGGTTCAAAGTCAAAATGAACAAAGTCATGAGAATTATGGACGAAATTAGAGAAGACATTGTGTGAGTATTGTTGTCTTGGCTTACACTAACGGCTAATCGATTCAAGACAGCACGTTCACCAGTTAGCCTAGTAAGTCTGATAATATTTCACTAAGGAATGTTCAAAATCAGAAGCTACCTGACTTGATGCAGTGTTTTTCCGCTCTCTCTACAATTGCATCATGTTTTTGCATTGTATTGCATGTGCATGTTCGAATTTCCATTGATATGGAAGATTGTTGAAATTGATTAAGTATAAAAATCAAAAATCGAAAAGTGTGACTAAAATATCAACTATGGCCGAATATTCAGACTCTATCCGATGGTCAAATTACAAAAGTAAATAGACCAACTTGTTCTGCTCATCAAGTAGATCGCCGTAGTATATTTGGAGTATGAAAACCAATTTCAAATGAATGAGAATTGCGGTCCAAATTTAGAAAAAAAAATAGAGGAAGCTGGCTAGACGACACTGTCGCTCAACCGACAGTTCGACAAGAATCGAGCAAAAAAGTTTCTGTTCGAATTTTGATAGTATTGCTCGAGCAAAGCGAAAAGCTAGCGAAAGTGAAGTGTTGCTTCTATTTGAAAGAGTGCACGATTCACCCAGCACCACTTCATCCACACCCCATCTTCTTCTATAAATAGGATCCTTTGGACATCTATTTGAGTATAACATCTCATAATTTGCATTGAGCACTATTCTTTTCTTACAAAATTTCTCTTCCTTTTCATTTCATATCATTTCTTTGTTGGGCGAGAAATTCTGTCGGAAATTCGCCAATTCTTTTGGTTTGAAGTGCTACTACCACAAGATTAATAATCCATTATATCTTGGAAACAAGTACTGTCAACCGTGAGCACCATAGCAAGGCAATATTTTCTTAAAGAGAAAGTGTCATCACTTGCCTCGAATTCTATTCTACCTAACTTTTTCTTCTCCAATTTCCATCCATATAATTGTGGTTTAATTACGCTCCTGCAAGTTAAACGTTATTTGATTTGTTTTATTCACAAACAACCGTCTTGCCACTCACATACAAGCCCCGATTCCAACAGGACCTGAAGGAAGCCTTGGCACTCCTTCGGCAACACACGTAGACGCGTGGACAAGAAGCCTATTCATAACAATGGATTCATCTTTTTCACTGCTACTCACAAAAAATACCAACAAGGTGTAAGTTCGTCGAAGTGTGGGTTCAAATTGGTGAATATCATACTCAATCGGGTAGCTACATGTGTTTTCTTTGGTTATTGCAGGGACCATTTTTCATATAATTGGAAGGGGAAGCAACTGTTAAGACTGTTTAGATATGATCCACCTACCAGAACAAGACATGTAGTGTTGGTGAGTTTGGCCCTTTCTTCTATTTACTGAAACAACTAATTTCAGGATTATCCTCTCTTGTTCATCACATGATTAGTTTTTCATTAATTTTCTAGAAATGGTATATTTATAAGCAGAAACTCATTAAATTTCCACAGGATCATCAAGTACTTCTTAGAGGGCTCAGAAGGCACCAGTAGACTCTATGCAGACTTTCCAGGATTCCTGGACAACATAAGGCTTAATTAAAAAGGCCAGTTTTAGGTAGCAATTAATTGTTGTCCGACTCAAGCACAGGAGTTTCTTATTACAATCTATGGTTGAGGAGCATATACTTCCGATTGCCCTTTCCAATGAGGTAATTAGCCAGGTTGGTAGGAGTGAGGATGTATTCTATGGTAACAGTTCTCTTAGTGATAAAGGAGATATATTAGATGTTCTTGAAGATAAAAGGGTGTAGTGATGAACCTAGTGAGTGAAGTAAAAGAGGCAAATGGGAAGTTGTGAATTGGAACTGCGGCTCATAATCACATTGCTACATTCACTTACCGTCTTCAAGTTCATCAATTTTTTCAGAAACCTAGGCCTTAATCTGCCTAATCAAGCTGCTTAAATCGGTACAGCTGATCAATAACAATGTGACAGTATTAGGGTCTTCATCCTTGGACTTCTAATGGTTGGTGAGCACAGGAGCCAAAAATAGTTCCTTGAACCAGTTTCAACTCATCCCAACAACGAGATATGGGGCGATAAATCAATTCCCCAGTTGACTCAAATTTATGTGCCTAATCATTTTCCTTTAACAGAATTGTGTACGTATAAGATCAGTTTTACTGTCAACAAAATAGAATTCCGAGAAGGGGAAGGAACAGAATTCTAAGGGAAGTGAGGTAGCAACTTCAGTTCAAGAGGTTGCCTAGAAATATCCTAGCAGATTCAAATGGCTGACCAACTCATCAGATTATACAAAAGACAACAGCTAATAAGCATCAAGTATCTAAACTTGCATAAAAGGGATTTTCTGCATTTTTTGTACATGTCTTTGTGTATGGCAGCGAGTATGTGAGAGGAATAGAGAAGCCAAAAAACCAAAAATGAATCAACTAAAAAGGAAATTTTGAATCAACTAAGAAACTGACGTCTAGATGACGATAATTTAATCCAAAAACCTTCAAAAGTTAACCAACTAAAATCTAATAGACTTCCTATAGAAATTAATATCCTGTAGTTTTGATCTAAATAGACTAACCAAAAGAGCAAATCTAAGATAAATGACAACTACCGAGATTCCTGAACTACACTAACCTCCCAGTATCAATTACACATCCATTTCCAATTCTAATCCCTTGAGGATGAATCTGGAGGGAGGTCCTTTCGAATATGAGCGAGCATCGAACTTCTCAGTTGCGAGTCCCTAGCTTGTTGCTGCTGAAGTAGTTGATGCTGTTGTAACTGATGCTGCTGTTTCTGAGAACGAATCTGGAGCTGCTGTAATTGTTGACCAGTTAACATTGTGTGCGTAGCTCGACTGTTGGGATAATACCGCTGGTTGGATCCAAAGGATGCACAGCCAGGGAAAGTTAACATAGGTCCACTGTTTGGCATTGCTTGACCAGTCAACACTTTCAGATGCTGGACCTCATCTTTCAGCGCGTCATTTAATGCTGGGGTTTAGGATAAAACAAGAGTATAAAAACATCAGTTAGCATCTTAATAAGATTTACGGGAAAAACAGGGAACTTTAATCTCTAAGTTAAGAATTTTGTACAAAATCAATCATCAAATGATGGTCGGCTCTTATTCTTTAGAAGCCAGGAAACAATAATTTTTTATTTTTTTCTTTCTCAGTTTATACATCAAGGTCAATACTCAATGTCCTAATTTCCATCCATGCCTAAGTCTGCATCTTTTATTTTCAAGATATTTCGAAGACCAAGTTGTGGGAAAACAGCAAGATAAGACGGGGCGAAAATTCCTGCAGTAGTTAAAGATACCGAGTCTTACCATCTTGCAAGTGAACTTGTTGTTCCATTGTTTCCACTCGCACTTTGAGTTCACTGTTTTCATTTGTAAGACTGTTTGAATCTCTCTGTTGGTGAAATGAAAAGATGTAAAAATTAAATAGAAAATTTCATTCGTACATAGGTAAATCTAGGTGCAAAATAGTTGATATAATTACAGCACCAGTATGTTACAAGGGAAATTAAAACACTCCAACCAATAAACTATGTTTCCTCATTTTCTTGAAAAGCCGTACGAATTTGTTTTTTCAAGAACCCATCTATCTCATGGGAGAGGAATTACCACCAGCTAAATAAAGGGAGCTTCACTCCTGGAAACCACTATTATGCTAGTGAGCAATGAAAAAAGTCGATTTAATTCCAATACCAGCAATGAAGAAAAAGCAAACAATTGACTTTTAAGCTACTATTTTCTTTCTTTGCTGTCTTACCATTTACTTATTTTCAACTGCTTGCTTTTCTTTTACTTTCTCCTTTTTACATAAGAGTAGACCGGGAAGGGATGGGAACTATCGATGAAAATTTGATAGTTCGTGCAGGAGAGGAGTTGAAAATCACCTGCAACATGGCTAACTGTGCAGCCAAGGTAGTAGCTTCTGTCTGCAGAGATTGGACTTTCCTTTCAAGATCAGCAATATATCTCATCTTCCGTTCTTTTGACCGAGAAGCCGATTGCCTATTTGCCCAAATCCTGTTACATGTTGGATGAAATATATGGATATAAGTGGGTTACATAATAAAAATCTTCTCACCCTCTCAAAGAAACTACAAGCAGGAAACATGCATATGCCAACAATGTGAAGATAAGGAAAAGCCACTGGAGGTTTTATTCAGCTAGATAATGAAAAGAACAAAAGTTTAGCACCAACTGAGTAGAACGAAATTCAAGATGAAAACCAGAGATAGAGAGAGAATAGAGAAATTATCCTACCAAGCTAAGTAAATGAAGGACCTATCACTTGCATTCATCAATATGATCGTTTCTAAAGCAAAATAATAACTACACCTCCTCTGCCATAGGAACTGGCAGAAATGCTTGCAAAAGGGGTTTGCTGGCATAAGAAAAACAGCTGATACTTTTTTTAAATTTTCACTATATTGCAGTCACACTCACCTGTTTACTTATCCAATGAATAAGAATGTAGCATTGCAAGAAGATATTGTCATTTTTGTTTATAGAGCTTATGGATAGTAGTGGTATGACAAAATGGTAAGTAGTTATTGCTGGCTTCAATATTAATATGACAAGCAGCAAGAATTATACAGGGACGTAAACATAAAAAAATATAATTCTAATATGGTGAAAAGACAAGAAGAGCACAGCGAAAGGGGAAAGGAGATCTCCTCGCCGCTCGGATTTTGATTGACTTGCCAGCATATTGTCCTTTTTAAGACAAAAGTCAAAGAGCTAATCGACCTGTTTTGAATTGGCACGATATATAGGACTTCGACCTCTATGATTCCAACTTCGTCCATCAAATAAAAAATTAGACTAAATCAATTGATGTTCTCTCCCCTCCATTTCTGTAAACCCAAGCTAATTTATCAATAGATAAAGAACACTGCAACCTCTATCAATACCATCACATCATCGGAATGGACATATGAGATCCAAAACGGCAAGCAGCCTTCAGGATAATCCAATCCACGAGGTCAATGCAGGCAGAAATGAGAAAGTAAAACTACCAAGCCACGACACTCCAGCTGCCATGTTCTTTACAGGCTGTTGAAAGAATACATCCAAGATTCGAAGGCAAAATGATTTATGATAAATTTCACCCTCATTTATATCATAAGTACAAATTACCAGCCACGTGGAATATATAGAAGAATAGGAAAAGATTCGGGTCAAGCATTATTATTAGGTTGATCAGTTCCTATATCGGGTTATAAATAGAAGACGACAAAAATGTAGACGACAAATTTATTGCTTCAGCAAACTAATAGGTCAGAATAGAAACAAGAACCAGAAGAACTAATAGCAATCACAGAAATATATTAATAGCTTCATGCAAAAACCTTACCTCTTAGCACGTTTTGGATCAACAAGAGCAAGCTCAGCAAGCTTATCTGCAGATGCAGCTTTCTTTGACTCAGGTGGAGACAGCTCTTCCGAACCTGACATGAGCATATCGGGATTCAGAGACCCATCCATGGATTGGCTATGCTGATGCCTACCACTTGGGTTTTCGCTTAAATCCAGAACCACATTATCGGTTGAAGGGTTGGTTAAAGGACCGGAATTTGCCGCTATAGGATTAGATGATTCACCCACTTGGACTGCAGAAATGCCAGATGTTGAATTGAACTTATATATGTCAAGATACATTGACAACAGGTCTTCTTGTGTCTCATCTGACAATGATGGTTCAAATTCTCCAACAACACCAAGATCGCCGTCAAAGCTAATATCATCGGGAAGAGTAAGAATCTCTGAGCGAACATGTCGGTGTCCCAGATTCTTAGATGGGTTATCAGGCATTTGGCTTATATCATCTAACTGCATCCCTTGACCAAAATGACCCTGCTCCGATGAACTCCCTGGGCCTAGTGGAGGCAAATTTGATGATCCCATTTGCCCAGACTCTGCATTATAACCACTACGAGGAGGAGAAAAAACAGAGAACCTCCCTGATGGAGGCAATAAACTTCCAGTGCCATGGTTAGAAGACTTACTTTTATCCATCAAAAACAATGTGTTTCTACTTCGAGAAGGCTCCTTAACAAGTAGAAATGATCTTTGAACCCTAACACACGGAAAAACTTGAAATTAATTACCATCAGTCTCAATTCCTGAATTTTATACAAACACAACATTAAAGAAAAACCCTAAAATCTGACAGCCTTAAAATTTCAAAAGTTACCCTTTTTCTTATAAATTTGAAAACGGGTGCTCGATTCAAAACCCCAAAGAGGAAAAATTACATTCAGCAGAACAAAATGAAAAATGAACAACAACAAAAAGAAAAAAAATCCAAACAAATATCTCATTTTTTCCTAAAAACAGAGAAAATCAAATACATTCATATAGATAATGACATCGAAGTAGAAAAACCTAACAAATGTGCAATGGGGAAAGCTGGGAATCGAAAAAAAAAATGATAAAAAACAAAGAATTAAAAAACTTACACTCAGAATTTTTTCCCTTCTTTCTGAATTCTGATATAAGATTGGATCTCTATAAGCAGGATAAAGAGAATTCAACAGGTTTTCACATGCGAAGGAGTAGCCATGTAAGTCATATCTCACATGGTGAGAGAGCTTCAAAGAGACGATGTATTTATATATAGCGAGAGTGGGTGTACGTTTAGATATGCATATATATACATACAGAGACACACTTGTGTGAGATTTCAGTGTGTAATAAGAGAAATCATTAAATAAAGGAAGGTGGTGACGTGTCCGTTGAGCTGGACTGATTTGGGCCCCACTAAGGGTATTGGATTTTTTTGGTCATTTATTTATGTTTATTAATTGTTTTCAAATTTTGTTTAGATTTCATCGCGCAACAAATTTGAAATTTTTACCATTAGCAATTCATAATTTCCATGAATGTCCCATTGGAGAATTTTTTTATTTTTATTTTTATTTTTTTTTTACAATGTTAATCCAGATTATTTAGGTGTGGATATTAATGAATGCGGTGGAATTAATAAATTATATGCATTTGTAATTATAGTTCCATTAACTATTTATTTTTTGGAGAGAATAACATGATATCTAGTAGAGATATTGAATATAGCATGTTTGAGTCTTTCTTTTTTCTTTTTTTTTTTTGGTCAAAAATGGATTTAGAAATAGCAATTTGATAGAGATTATGTTGTTAAAAATTAAGGAAAATTTTGAATTTGCGTATAATATTATTTTATTGAAGAATGTATGATTGAAAATAAGAGGAAAAAATGTATTTTGAAAATAATGTGGACTAAACAAGAGATACACTCTAAATAAAATATACAAATTCATATAAAGATTATAAAAATATTGATATAGACAAACAATTTTTTTGTTTACATGAAATATGAAAATTTTGAATGCAGCTTAAGAAAAATTTCAGAGATTTTATGATCATGCGCTGATCGTAAATGCAAAATTATGAAATTAGTAATACATTTCATTAAAATTACTAAAAATAATCAAAAATCAACTCTAGGTTTACAACAAGCGAATATATTTACAAGTAAAAATGTGCGTTTTAACTATCGGATGAGAAATTTGTCCTAAACCACGAAGATCGAGCCGTTTCACGTGTTTTGCTCATAAACTCATAATTTTTTAAATGAAATATTGCATTGCCTTAAAAATGAGTATTTAAAGAAACTTGGAGATCATAATTACATCACATTTTGTCATGTCTAGTCCTTGAGTAGAGCTAACATGGATGCCACATAGGATCTTGCATCCACATTACGCCTTGTGTTACCTCATCAGTATATGAAGATGGTTAACGCTTCTGTAGACAATGATGGTCACTTAATCTATTCACAACCCAAGAGTGCCTCGATGTAGTTATTTATGAATCAACCAATTAGCCTCTGATCCTCCCACAACCATCCTAGGGTAATGTCCGAGGTAACAATGTTGCCTTTGTCCATCACTGCAAGACACAGCAACATCCAACAGAGGAGTAATAACTATGCTAATCGACCCTACATGCTTGGCCCAATGACCATACGTCATTTGACAAGTCGACTTCGTAGAGATATGAGATAGTTGGATAGATTTCTCTAACATCAGACAGGAATAAACCCACAAGATCTTTTTATGTGATGCAAAAGATCTATTGGCACAATCTTACTCTATCGTAAGCAGTTCTAAAAGAGAAATACCAAAATAGTCTGACATACCTAAGACAGCTAAGTGAAAGTGACACCAGCAGATGCCATATTGGGCAAATATGATTTTTCCCAAATAAAGTAAATATTCAAAAGGCATCAAATTAAAGTTGTCACTATGACTAGGTCAATGATATCAGCATAGGTCAAATTGACAGTACATCAATTTAAAGGTCGAAAGTATTACTGATTTAAACTCTATAAATATAATAGACTAACATGAATAAAACGTGTGTAAGATATGAAACCTAGCCAAAACTCTATTTATTTTATTCTCATGCCCAATTGCAATATTTGGATTGAGCTTCAAAGTGTAACACAATCATTGGTGCCATCCTAGTATGATAGCCTTGCATTTCAACAGTTATTGTGCGCATAACTCATCAATACTCGGGACATATTAACAACTTAGCTCGTAAGACTTGGAAGCTAGCGCTTTTCTCGTTGATTACCAAATATTTGTTTTTTCTATGTTCGTTTATAAATCATGATAGTCACGTATTGTGTTGCATTGGTATATGCAAAAGAAATGTCAAAACATAAAATATTTAATAAATGTCTAGCAAATGAATAAGACATTTTCACCGTAATACTTTACTACCACATGTATTATTGGAAAATGAGCAACTTTTTTTTTTTAATCTTTGATCCACAAATTGTGTGGATCAAAATGCAAATAATTGTGGGTCCTGCAACTTCTTATAATTTTGAAATTCACAAATTATGTAAACCAAAATGCAAACAGTTGTGCTGCAATAATATCCAATAATGCAGTAATAACTTGTGTGGACTAGAATTGCATACAATCGTGTTGTAATATATGCTGTAATGCAAATAATAAATTGCATGGACCCACAAATATTGTTGTAGTAATCCAATAATAAATTGTGTAACATATAAACCGTGTTGTTAGCACTTTGGTCAACGCAATTTTTATGTCCAAATGTTATGAGAATTCATAATTTTTTACATTTTGGTTCACACAATTTGTTAGTCCCAAATGCTAGGACCCACAATGGTTTGCATTTTGGAAAACATATTTTATGTGTCTCAAAGTTATCATAAATGATGGGACACATAATTATTAGCAATTTGGTCAACGCAATTTGTGAGTTCCAAGATGATAAGAAAGTCATTTATTTGCTAATATCTAGCTGTTGAGACATGGCCCGCCAAAGCTATTACTCTTGGCATTAATTTATTTATAGTTCTAAAAAGTCTAAAGTATGTCTAGTCCTAGATGCAATGTTTCAAGCTTTACGAACTTAAGCAAGCTTAAGTGAGTTTTAGACGTAAAAATAAATATTTTCTTATAATTAATATTATTTTATAATTTCAAAAATTATTTAATAATTAAAATAATATATATCAATCATCTAGAATAATAAAATACTATATTGAATTAATAATTCCAACCATTAGTCAATTATACAATTTCTAAGTTTTCGAAATGCAAAAATTAAAATATGTTTCATAGTTTCAAATTTCAACTATACAAGTCTTACTTGATAGATTTATAGGAACTTCATACATGTTTTTTAAGTTTGCAACAAAATAACGAGTTTCAAGATCATAATTACATATAGCACCATAATTTAAATCTTATTTAACTATTTAAATAAAGTCATTTTTAACTTGTGTACAGATAAAATCTTTTAAAACATTGAAATTAAAGTCAAATACAAAGTTTATTTAAAAATTTAAAAAAAATTAATAAGCTAAAGTCGAATAATAGACTTTTAAAAAAAGGAAAAAATAACTAATAAAATGCACCTAGGGAAGACAAAGGATAGGAAGGAAAAAACTCAACCGTTAAAGATTTAGAAAAAAAGCATCTAAACGTGAAATGAGACATTTTGCCACAGCTTTAAGCTTAGGCACTGCCTAAACGAGCTTTTTAAAACACTAATTTATTTTATTAAGTATTTTCTATTTTTATTTATACTCAATTCGAGTAACAAAGTAAGAAATTTGTTTGTTGTGAATTACTAATTTCTATACATATTCTGAGGAGGGAAATAAAACCCAAATTTGACTAAATTATTTACAACCTAAATGAAAATTTTGCATTTTAATCGTATTTAAATGCATGATATATTTAATTGCCTTAAACAAAGTTATATGTTCAATATCAAATATTAACCATTTTTATTTTTATTTTTTAATTCCTAGCATTCTATATCTTACCTTATTTTAACCTGTACTTAAAAAGTCTCATGTTCCATTTTCTCCCTAATGTGTTAAGTAAATAATATATAATATGTTTTTGTCCAACAATATTTTTAGTGTGTGCTTGAGCCACATTATTTTGGAACAGTAGATTGATAGAGAATGTGATTAAAAAATGAGAAAAATGTTGCATTTGCTTATAATATTATTTTATTTAAAAATATGTGGTTAAAATAATATCAAATCACTTTTTAAGAATGTATTTTTTTTTGTAAATGCGGCTCAAACAGAGCCTTAATTACATATGAGGAAATTGCCTTAAATGTCCATTTGTACATAGGCATTTGCAAAAATGTCCAAAGTTTTCGCAATATCCATTTTCCAATTATTTGGACAAGAATACCCCTGCCTACAATTTCTAATTTCAAAGTAGTATTCAAATATTGTCCCATCGTTAAGAATTGTGTTGCCAATAAAATTAGGACACATAACCTATACTACTTGTTTCAAAAAGTACAAATGTCAATCACATTAAATAAGTTTGCCGGGTCATTTGAATTGAAAAATAAGTTAGGTCCATTTATGAATTAAACCCATACGAAAACATAAAACTCTATTCCTATTCTTCATTCAATTTGCATCTAAACATGAAATCCTCCCTCTCACCTTAGAAACCTAGAAATACAAGGCTACAATTTACTAATTCAATTGGAAGTGAAGAGTCGCCGTAAAGAGTTGCTGCACCTTTAACCTTTCCGTTCATCCCCTAATCGCTTCCATCTTCCTTAGTTACCTTCAATAAGGTAACTTTACATAAATACACCTTTTTTTCTTTTTTCTTTTTAATTGTTTGACGTTATAATTTTAATGTATATTTCATCTGATTTGATTTTACGATATTGTATTAATTTTTGATAGTTGCAGATTTTAATTAGAGTTTAGTAGACTTCTCATTATGATGTTTTATATATGTGTATATGTTAATTAATTAGTTCAAAACTTGGTGTATAAACTTAATTTCCTGTGCGTGTATGTAGCCCAATAAATTTCTCCTGTGCATGTATACATATCTCCTCCAGTGCTTCGATTTTCTATGTATATGTATAGATAATAAAGGCAGCTAGCAATTCTTGGCATGTATATTGGCTCTGTGTTTCTCCCCAAACAGCTACCGACAGCAATAACCTTCATTTTCTTCTTATTTTGTTATGTTTCTGCGTGTATATCTATATAAAATAACGACAGTCAGCCAATGTTTTACTGTCAAGGGGACTCTCTTATGTATACAAGTAATCCTCATTTTCCAGCCTCCAATGAGTA